TAGTTAGCCAAATTCGTCTTTCATTTAACGGAAGTTCCGCACACTCCGCAAGTACTACATTGGTGGGAGTTGATCTCATTAGTCCTGTTATTGTTCTGAGAGCTTTAAACTGGATGGTGTTCATTTTGTTATTTAGGGATTTTTGAATGGGGCTAAATAGTATGCTGCCATGATCTAGATGTGATCTAACAATTCCAGTATATAGTATATGTAGGATCTTAGGGTCCGCCCCCCACCATACTCTAGAGACGGCTCTTAGGACATTTATTCCTTGGTTGGCTTTTGCGATTATTTTATTTACTTGTTGTTTCCAGTTAAGATTTTCTTCAAGAATGATTCCTAAATATTTTACAGAGGATTTTCTTGATATTATTTTGTCGCCCATCTTGACTGGTGGTGGAGTGACTCTAGATTTTCTCTTTTTGAACCAGATATATTCAGTTTTCTCAGCTGAGCAGGATAATTGGTGATCATTTAGCCACTTTTCCAACTTCCTCAACGTATTGTTTATTGTATGTACCATAGTGTGTATGTTATTTCCCTTGGTAAAAAGCACGAGATCATCTGCGTATGAAAGCAGGTATGAGTCCTCTGGGATTATTTTAAATATTGTATGTATGTATATATTAAATAAAAGTGGGCTTAGTGGTGATCCCTGAGCAATTCCATTCCTGACCACTGCCGGACCATATGTTTCTCCATTGTTATCTTTTGTATATATGATCCTATGTGATAGTATGTTATAAATTATTTATATTTAATTTCTATGCTTTTACAGGTGTAAATAAATTTCTTTGTCTCTTCTTTTACCTTGTATATTCTTTTTCTATGAACCCTAGTTCTTATACCTACCTTTTCTATACCTCTTTTTATATATAAACAGTTCTTCACTGTTGTTTACCATAATTAAAATCCAACAGTGTTTAACGTTTATACGAAAATTATTATTGTGAAACTCAAAATTTAGAATGGAACCCCAAAGAAAAAGACGAAGTGCTCATTCATAATGGACGTAACCATAAGATGCCCGTAAACGTAAACGTAAACGTAAACATAATATCACCATAATTTGTACGTAACGATGAGTTGTGTTTATAATGAACGTATGGCTTATGTATATATTAATAAGGCGCGCATGTCCAAGTTCACTAAATTGGCAGCATTGACAGATTTCGTCTAATTATTATGTCTTAAAACTTAAAAGTTTTAAGGCATAATAATTATAATTATAATTATTATAAATATAAATTAAGTTAAAACTATCAGTGTTATTATAATTATTAGTGTAATGAGCGATATATACGTTGGCAAAGAGAAGAAAAAAAGGGCGAATTTCGTCGAATAATACTCAAACTAAAACTTTAGGATAATGAATGGTTCTTTAGATTGTTTGTTCTGTGGATACACCAGAATACACTTGAAAAAGATCTGTCATCTGTTTGCATGGCTACTACCCTGATTGCTACCAACAATGTTCTAGTGAAATCATGAAAGTTACTAAAATTCACACATAAGAAACCCGTAAAGTTGAGATGATTTCAACTTTACGTATTTTTTACGGTCACCCATAAGATCTTATGTTCGAACGTAAAACGTAAAAATTACGGCTATTCATTATAAACAGGCACACTGGTTTTGTTAATGTTCAACTTTACGTTTTACGTATTTCTTACGGGCATCTTATGGTTACGTCCATTATGAATGAGCACGAAGGTTGGCGGTATGTTTTGGAGAAGATATGTTTAGCACACAACATTATTCCTACATAAACATATTAAATATATATATTAAAAAGAGAAAGACTATTAACCACGTTGAATAACTAGCTCAGCGATATAGTTTTATGGTCTGGTATTTGTGACGTCATAGTTAAGATTTTTGAACGCACTCTAAACGCAAAAATGCCTTAACTATTAATGGCGGGTTTACGAGTCACTCGCGTGCGTTTGGAGGTCGCGTTTACGCGAGCTAGCCAACGCGCGCGACGGTTTTAACTCATGGTGGGCAATGGGATCGTTTATAGGTGACCTCGCGTGCGTTAAAAGGACGCGTGCGCCAAATCTCAGCCAGTTTGACGCGTCTTGGTTTTTATCCGGGGAAAAAACTTTACGCCGTAAAAAGATTGCGCGCGTTGAAGCCGATATCACGTGACATGGCCAGCCAATGGCATCAGCCGTAAAATTAGCAGACGAGCTAAATTCATTAATATTGCAGTTCGGCGAATTAAAAATGGGTCCATTTTCCCAAAGTATGAGACGTCAGACGAAATCAAAAAACACGCACTGAGGAACCAGCTGACGTTTGAAGGTGAGCAAACACGCGCCTTTGAAACTCGTAAATGGGGGTCGCGTCAGGAAGAACGCGTTGACGCGAAGGCGCAGGAAACGCACGCAAACTTCAAACGCACGCGAGTGACTCGTAAACCCGCCATAACCAAGGTTAAGTTTAATGACCATAGTATTTCATGGTATTTACGCGAAAAAACGACTATAGTTGCATTATTTGGGGGTGTAATAATATTGTGCAGTGTAATGCAGTGCAGTACGGTATAGTGGGTTGTTTTGTGTATTGTGGAATTATTCCTTACCTTCAAAGTTTTGTAATTTGATTTCAACCTCATCATCAGGTTGAAATCAAATTACAAAACTTTGAAGGTAAGCAATAATTCCACAATACACAAAACAACCCACTATACCGTACTGCACTGCATTACACTACACAATATTATTACACCCCCAAATAATAACATATTGTTGTTAGGATTGTTTAGTTTTGCAATGTTAATGCAAAGAAAGCACATTTAACTGAATTATATTTTATTAGAAAAACAATAAAAACATATTCTACAATAAACTATAATAATATATATTATATGTATATACATAATATGTATATATTATATATTATATTATATATAGAAAAACACTAACAAAATAAAAAAATATTCGTCTTATAAAATAAAAATACCTCCACTTTTGAAAACCAGCAATAATTGCAATTAGTTTTCAAATTTCATATCTTTGAAAAAAAAATTAAATTATTTTTCTATTTTAAGGATAAAACAGTACACAAAAATATAATTCTCCTGTAGAATAAAACACTATTTTATTAGAATATACCTAATATAAAAAACAGTATAACAAAATAAACAAGTATACTCTATTTCTCTTATAAATTAAAAAATGAAATGAATGAAGTCAATTAATAATTCATCTAGTATAAAATTTTTATTTTATTTCTGCAGTTTAACTGCAACATTTATTTATAATAAACTTACTTAAATAACACTAGGGTTCAGCTGAAGTACAAACCTGTGATTTCATCTTATCATATGTATGCTGGAAGGCATACATAATGTGCTTTTCAACGTCATCCTTTGTAATATTTCTTTCCCCCGAGACAACCCAAGACAATTGTGTTTGCCATCAATATGTCTTTTAGTCTAAAGTTTTCGTTCGTCCCTATAGGATATATCCAGTTGTGTGGAGTGTGTCCAGAGTGTCGACTGTAAAACAGTCTATGTTATGTTGGTTACCAATTTTTTAATTTTAATTGACCTGCAAAATGATCATAAGAAATAAGCAGTTTTCTCCATGGCTTTGTTAAAATTTATTTCACGTACAAAAAAATGTATTTTTTCCTCTTTCAGTAGAAATTCAACTTAAAATTCTTAAGCTATAATAATAAATTTGTTAAGGATATATTAACACACTAAAAATGTTGTGGTTACTTATATTTTGTTGCTACAGCAAAACATTTCTTAGATTAGAGTGTGGAGTTGTTTAGCATTGCAGACAATTGTCTTAAGCTACTGAAATATAGAAAAGCAAAAGTACTTACGGTTTTAAACTATCCTTTTGTTTACCATTAAAAACTTTGCAGAAATATAGAAAAACCTACAGAAACCAATGGCTTGGGTCGTTACCAAACATTCAAAATGGAGATCCTACTGGAGATGCACAGAACATATGACTATTGGCGACTGCGCATTGGTGTCACGACTTTACGTGATGTTTTCGTGACGATTTGTATAAATATTTTGTAACGTTTTTGTAACGAGCTGCACGTCAAGAATTTTATACCAAAATTTAAAGTAAAATTATCACTATTTCGTGCGACTAACGACTTTATGAAAAAATTCGTCACGTATTTTCATAGACCCCTCGTCACGAATTTGGCGTCACGCAATTTATTTACTTTTTATTAAAATTTCCTTAATCGTAACGAAATATTGTCTCGTTTTCGTCACTTCCATTTTTTAATGTCACGTTGTGCTACCTGGGAAATCTGATCGAAAATGATAAAAAAGGATCGAGAATTTCTAGAACCTCATTAAATATGATAAAAAAGGATCGAGAATTTTCTGGACCATGATCAAATATGATAAAAAAAGATCGAGTTTCGATCAGTTTTTTCAGCAGGGTATGGAATTTCATTTTAAAATGTACAACTTAGGGATTTTTATATGGATTTATCTGGTTTCTGTTTTATGTGTTTTTCCATATAGGTTTCCCTATATGGTTGAATATGGAATTCCATTTTAAAATGTATATATATTTAAACGAAAATTGCATATTAAACCATATACCTAGATTCCCCTATATGGTTAAATATGGATCTATATGGTAATAATTTTTTCACACCCAAACCATATTGGGCCAGATAGAGCAATATGAACGTATATGGCAGTCCATATAGAAATCACTTTTCTATATGGTTTTCCAGGTATGGAATTCTATCTGGTTCAATAGTGCAATGCCTGTTTCAAATTCCTATATTGAACCAGATAGATTTTTATTTTGTGTTTCTATATGGCATTTTTAATAGGGAGGGATCGGTCTATAAGTACAAATAAAAATGCTGTACCTAATGAATTTCCCTCGTATACTTGTATACGAGGCGCGGTCAAAAATAGCTATTTTTGACCGCGCCTCGTATACAAAAAAAATGAACATGTGAACATAGGAAACAAACACAAAAAAGAAATAAAAAATTATAATCACTTTAAAAGTTACATTTACTAAATTAATAAACTTATAAGTACATTTTTATCATAGTTAGGTATATAAATTAATACTAATATTAAGGCAAATCTATCCAGGCATTGAATGTAATTTAAATAGCTAAGCCGTAGACAGACACAATACAAAACATTGATTTATTTTCCCAGCGTACAGTACAACTTCCATCTGTTGTGTTATCCCAATAACATGAACTGGCAGTGTGCAATCCAGCCCCATTTTTTTGCATTATTGTACAAGTTACAATATATTTGTAGGGTTTCATTAATTTTGTCAACTCTGATGTGCATGCCTCCACTACTGCAGTAGTCCATCCATTTACTTTATTTTGTTGATATCCATTACCTCCAATTACCGATTCAATAGCATCCTTAATTATCTTGCTCACATCATCTACAACAAACTGCCCTTCTTCAACCAAATCTTGTTCAACTAATTCTTGTGCTGTTTTTTCCATTTCGATTTATTAAAATAGCAAATCAAAATACTATCCTCTCGAGGTTAACTTACAACAATTTCAGCATTTAAAAGTAAAAATTAATTTTTTAACACACCAGTTGACAGTTAAGCAGGCTTGCCAACTGTAGTAAATAACAAAACCGTACTTTTCAAAACAGGACCGTACTTTCGCGATTTCACATATGACGTCAGCAAAACAAGCATAATTTTTAAAATAATTTTGTAAAATTTTACACAAAAACATAAATTCTTTAAGATATATAAATATATAGATAAAATAAAAAAATGTATTTTTAATTATGTTATGAAAATTTTGAATTATAAATTATAATTTATAATTATCATAATTCATAATTGCAATCAGGGACCCTGATTCAGGGTGGACCCTGATTGCGATTTTGAAATTTTCAAAATCACAATTCCAATTCATAATCATCATTGATATGTATTGTATTTGGTATGTTCTTCATTAAAGCCATCTTCTTAATTACTAAGATTTATTATCACATGAGGTAAATTACCTCAGGTAATATACAATAGTACACGTCTTGTTCGTCTCTTACAGTCAACTCTGTTCCACGGCACGATACATACACCTTAAGATAGGATGGTGCGCATGTTGGGCGGGGCTTAATGACGTCACTTGAGTGTTTTTAAATCTTTAACGTGCTTTTTAATACGAGACGCTAAATGCCACTGGCGGCTCCTCTTACTGCGCATGATCGCTTAATTGACAAATGTGCCGCGATTGAAAATGTTAGTTACGTTATAATCCGATGTGGCTCCCGTCCCGAGGCGGGACTTAAGTTCAGTCCCGATTGACGTCACACACTGTAAATCCGTTTTTATTCCCCGAGATTTTATAATTTGCGTCAAGCTCGATGGCTTAGATGGTAGGGCGGTCGCTTGGCATGCGAGAGGTACCGGGTTCGATCCCACTAGAAGTTGTTAAATTTTTTTTATTTTTTTTATTTTATAAATTTGTTGTTTCTTTGTTAAAAAGTGTTTTATTTTTATCGTAACATAAATTTGCCCATTTTAGTTGGGTTTTTTTCTCAATGGGGCGGGGGGGCCCAATGGGGCGGGGTCGGTTGGGTTGTGTTGTTGAGTTTGGGTTGGTTTGGTTTTATGACGTAACTAAAGTGCCCTTAACCTGTATACAGGTACAATTTATTATTATTATTTTAACAAATCTTAAAATTATGACGTCAATCGGGACTGAACTTAAGTCCCGCCTCGGGACGGGAGCCACAGCGGTTATAATCAGGATACATACACACTGGTATGCTATTTAGTCGAACCAAAATGAGTCGTTTCTGCGCATTACGTCATCTGGATTATTTCTGTCTTGAAAGTGTGAAAGTATTTGAGGTTAATCGCTTTTATTTTTGTGTTTTTCTATGGTTTATTGTGTTTTCACCACATAATTATGTGATTTTAATATTTGTAAACATTGTTATTGTGTATTTGTGCAGTTAAAATGTCAAACTGTGCCGTGGCAACTTGTAAAAACTATGTTCGAGTTACAAAAGGAACAGAAATAAAATATTTTCGTTTTGCAAAGGACAGTAATTTGTCAGAACAGTGGATTTTAGCATGCCGACGAGATGACGAAATTAACTTAAAAAATGGTAAGTGTCAATTACATACCTACATTTTTTAATTATAAAATTAGATTTATTAGATATTATTCAATTAAAAAAATAGATTTTTACCAACCAAAGAGAAAGAGTTATATGAACCAACCGTAGAAAAAATATATAGATGGTAAAAATATATTTTTTTAATTGAATAATATCTAATAAATCTAATTTTATAATTACCTTAAGGTACGTATATTAAATTTAAGGGGTTCTCAGTAATTAAACTATTAGTCGCTGCAATCCAATAATTGAGTCCAAATACAATGCAAAAATTAGTCCCAAAGTAGGTTTATTTATCAATTTTCACTTCTTAAAAATATAAACAAGTATATTAATCAAGTTTCACTTCTTAAAAATATAAGCAAGTATATTTATCAAGTTTCACTTCTTAAAAATAACATATATTCGTACATTAAATTTTAAATTTTAAAATTTAAACGCTGCAATCCACCTGACGTCACACAACATGTCATGCGCAAGAGAATACAAGCGCAAGAGCATACCAGTGTGTGTGTATCCTGGTTATAATTGACCATATGCAAGGAATGCGGTCGATGTTGCCAATGGTAAAAAAATAAAATTCCCTGTTGGGAACATTCAATTATATTACGTTGGCTACATTGAAAATTTGAATTTCCCGCACAAACTAAATTAATTTCCATGTTTTTTTTAATAATAATAAATAATAATAATTCCCACATTTGAAATTCGCACCTTAATTTATTATACAACATTGGAACTACCTTCTTTATCTCTGGGAACTACTAGAATGTATGTCAGTTTCTGCGGGAAATTCAAAATTTCAGTGTAGCCAACGTAATATAATTGAATGTTCCCAATAGGGAATTTTATTTTTTACCATTGACAACATCGACCGCATTCCTTGCATATGGTCAATTATAATCCGTAGATAGCTCAGATGGTAGGGCGGTCGCTTGGCATGCGAGAGGTCCCGGGTTCGATACTAAGAAGCTGTCGAACTTTTTTATTTCATAAATTTGTTGTTCCTTTGTTAAACAGTGTTCGGTTGGGTTGGGTTGGTTTGTTTTAGTTTTATCGTAACATAAAATCTACTAGAAGTTGTCGAACTTTTTTTATTTCATAAATTTGTTTTTCCTTTGTTAAAAAGTGTTTTATTTTTATCGTAACATAAATTTGCCCATTTTAGTTGGGTTTTTTGCTCAATGGGGCGGGGTCGGTTGGGTTGTGTTGTTGAGTTTGGGTTGGTTTGGTTTTATGACGTAACTAACTTGCCTTTAACATTTCGAATCGCGGCACATTTGTCAATTAAGCGATCATGCGCAGTAAGAGGAGCCGCCAGTGGCATTTAGCGTCTCGTGTTGAAGCTCCTGAATATAATCTTCTTATTGCAAACCAATGTGCGAACACAGAAAACCTTATGCGCACACTCCAAACGTCACAAACAAGTTTCAAACCAATGTGAAACAAACCTATTGTAAACAACAAAAATGGCCGCCTTTAATCTTTTTGCAGTGGGTTGCCTAACTCCGTGATTTTTAGTATGCGCGAAACAAGGAAGAACAGACCTTGCTGTGTGGATTGTGGGTGTATGTATCCAAAGTGTTCTTTGGTTTGACAGTTGGAGAAATATAAACTCACGATCTCAATGTGTGGATTGTGCTCACGATCAAGAAAATTTTCTAAATTAAAGATTTCAATGTAATATTTGGATATTTAAAAATGAAATTTGTACTATTGAATACCATTAAATAAAGAACTTGTGTGTAACATTAAATACCATTCAATCGAGAACTTGGTAACGCTTTTTGTTTTGCTTCACTGCATATCCTTGTCTCTATCCAAAGAACACCTTCTTTGTCTCTATCTCTGTCTTCTTTCAAATATCCTTTTACTATGCTTTCAAAGAAGACAGAGATAGAGAAGTTCTATATATCCTTTTTCTCTGTTCTTTGGTCTTCACCAGTGTTGCCGATTTGCAAGTAATTACTTACATTTGTAAGTATTTTGACTACTTGTAAGCACTATTGTAAGGATTAGTTGTTTGTAAGGATTTTGCAAGGATTTTAATTTTTTTACTTAAAGTAAAAAAACAAAATTCAAGCCGTAAAATGAAATAATTCGTTAAAAATGTTATAAATTATTTCATTTTAACCTACGTTGCCGGCTGTCCGATTTCGACTTGTCTGTTAACAGACAAGCCCTACTGTAGACGTTCCCTTAAATTAATCAAGGCAAATAAAATCTGGCAACCCTGCGACTGGCATAGAGCAAACCATAACCCTAGAATTTAATTTAATGTTTAATAGTCTAAGTGCTTATTCATAATGGACGTAACCATAAGATGCCCGTAAACGTAAACGTAAACGTAAACATAATATCACCATAATTTGTACGTAACGATGAGTTGTGTTTATAATGAACGTATGCCTTATGTATATATTAATAAGGCGCGCATGTCCAAGTTCACTAAAATGGCAGCATTGACAGATTTCGTCTAAGTATTATGTCTTAAAACTTAAAAGTTTTAAGACAAAATAATTATAATTATAAATATAAATTAAGTTAAAACTATCAGTGTTATCATAACCTTAGTGTAATGATATATCATACGTGGGCAAAGAGAAAAAAAAGGCCGAATTTCGTCGAATAATACTCGAACTAAAACTTTAGATCTTTAGATTGTTTGTTCTGTGGATACACCAGAATACACTTGAAAAAGATTTGTCATCTGTTTGCATGGCTACTACCCTGATTGCTACCAACAATGTTCTAGTGAAATCATGAAAATTACTAAAATTCACACATAAGAAACCCGTAAAGTTGAGATGATTTCAACTTTACGTATTTTTTACGGTCACCCATAAGATCTTATGTTCGAACGTAAAACGTAAAAATTACGGCTATTCATTATAAACAGGCACACTGGTTTTGTTAATATTCAACTTTACGTTTTACGTATTTCTTACGGGCATCTTATGGTTACGTCCATTATGAATGAGCACTTATGGTTACGTCCATTATGAATGAGCACTAAATGATTGGGTTGATCTATAGATTTGATATTCCCGGGTAGTAAGATGATCTTTAATTTTTTCTCTTCCAGCAAGGCAAGAGGCGCAAAGTAGCATAATTTGTTCTTTCTAAAAGTTGATTTAATATACGCCGTGACTAGAAGTACACCGGGAGTACCGCTATTAAAAGTACATCAGGTTTGTGCGCATGCGTGTTTCCATAACAGCTGATGGTAAAATTTCGGATTTATTAGTTGACATTAAATTGACCATATCCCATATCCTTTTTCTATGATATCCCAGGTAGAACACGAATCGGAAAGATAGCGTTTTGATAGCAAAAAAATGTCGCCTTATCGATTCATCCGAATGATATCGTAATGTTATGAGATAGTATATATCTGCGAGTCATCTTAAAAATGTCATCATAAGGATAACCTCTAATAGATAACTAAATATATATGTCGGAAAGCTGGTTTATTGATAACATAAAGGATATATCCATTTGGCATACTGTCTAATGGACAACATTTATTTGTCAGTTTTTTTTATATAGACATTTGTTATCAATAAGATATCATTTTCAACAAAACAGTTTGGTAACATTTTTGCGCTAACATTTTGTTGTCATTTTTTGGACAAGTCCAAGATAACGTTTGAGCCGTTACTTAATTGCTAACGATTTATTGTTAACTTTTAGATAATTTACAAAAAGTTAGCATAACGACAAGTTTTCGTCAAGCGCTTTCCCGCTATTTTAGAGATTCCCAGGTAGAACACGAATCGGAAAGATAGCGTTTTGATAGCAAAAAAATGTCGCCTTGTCGCCGTAATGTTATGAGATAGTATATATCTGCGAGTCATCTTAAAAATGTCATCATAAGGATAACCTCTAATAGATAACTAAATATATATGTCGGAAAGCTGGTTTATTGATAACATAAAGGATATATCCATTTGGCATACTGTCTAATGGACAACATTTATTTGTCAGTTTTTTTTATATAGACATTTGTTATCAATAAGATATCATTTTCAACAAAACAGTTTGGTAACATTTTTGCGCTAACATTTTGTTGTCATTTTTTGGACAAGTCCAAGATAACGTTTGAGCCGTTACTTAATTGCTAACGATTTATTGTTAACTTTTAGATAATTTACAAAAAGTTAGCATAACGACAAGTTTTCGTCAAGCGCTTTCCCGCTATTTTAGAGATTATTGCGCATGCGAAAGTTTGGTGTCAATTCTTATAAGATATTTTTGATAAAATCATTTATTTGTTTAATAGTTATTAATAATTAATTTATACGAGCTCGTATAGTACCTATAATTAATGCTAGCATTAATTTGTGGTGTTATTTAATTAACTGGTGAGTGTTTATTTTAAATTTGTCAGCTGATATCAGGATCAAGAAGGTTATGTGCATTTTAACAAATATTATTTTATAAAATTGTAATTATGGACTGTGTAAAATCGCGAAAGAAGAAAAGTTTCTTAAATTTAACACGACGACAACAACTCCGACGCCTCGAAATTTTGCGGCAAGAGGATATTTTAGTTTTACCTTATGCACAAGCTCATGATGCCCAAGTTCAAGTTGTTCAAAGAATTGGAATGGTATGATAATAATATGTGTTGCTTTGTATATAAATTTAGATTAAGAATATATTTTGTTATTTCACCTATAAATTGTATTGTTAGAATTCATTTTAAATTATTTATACAAAATGCTCACGTTAAATTGATGCAATATTATGTTATTTCTCTCCTATCAATTGAAGGTTTAAAAATGCATTGATGTAAATTTTAAATTCATATTATCAAGATGCAATTAAAAACTATCTTATTAATCATAATAATTATTGCAAATTTATATCAATACAATTTTTTGTGTAAAATTTTAATTGGAAGAAGAAAATCAACATATATCGCATTAGTTGCATGAATAAATAATTTATTCTAGATTCTCTCCCCTGCCCTCTCCACAGCATACAAAAAGATACCATTCGGATGACATATTTATGCTAGCAATTGGTTAACATTATGCTACAGTATTGTGCACTCAATAAGTTGACATTCAGATAACAAACAAGTAGCTATTTAGGCATCCTTTATTTGGATAGCAATACGTCATCATTATGAGGTTATCAATGGGACTGTCACCATGCCCTGTGCACTCGCCTTAAACAAACAAAATCCACATTTTTGTCTAGTCGACTTTGGTTTTAGTTTACACTCGAGTTGCATGTGGCAGGAGCGGCGGTTAATCTTGACGGTTGCTTGGTAACGAAATCAACAAACTTCAGTTTGATAAATTTTGTAAAGTTTTGTAAATTCATATTGTGTTTATTTGGTTTGTTCTGTACGCTTAAAAACTTTTATAATTGCGATTTATCGTTACCTGTGTACTCTATTTTTTATATATTGCTACATTATTTGAACATTAACATGGTGTTGTGTTGTGCTGTGGGCTGCTCTAACAGTCAAGTTATGATGCATACTTTTCACAATGATGACAAGGTTGTATTGTATTATTCAATTATAACTATTTTATTAAAACAAGGTACTTACACAAATGTGGTACATAATATTATTACTTTATACTGATTTGTGTTCTTTAATAAGATAAAATTCACTTGAATTCATTATTATATTGTTAATTGGTTTAGTTTAGTAAATACCTTGAATAATTTAAAATATAATATATATTTTTGCTTTTCAAATAAACAATTTAAATAAACTATCAGGCCTTTTATTTTTTACTATTTTGACTGTCAAAATTTGACAGGATAACCTAAATTAAAACCATAACCTAAAACCAATAAATGTCAGGCGGGTACACTAGCGGCATAGCGGGCCGAGTGTGCGTAACAAGGAGCGTCAAATATGTGACAGTGGCGTATCTATATGATTTATTATCTATGACTGTCACTAGATAACAATAGGCTAACATTTTGTACATCGGAAAGTTATGCAAAGAACAGACATTAGTAATAGTTTCGGATAACAAAAATGCAACATTTTGGACAGTCCAAAAGTCAGCAGTTGACATTTTGATGTTGGCATTTGGGCCACCAAAAAGTTATCCTAGTTCTATCTGGGATGCAAGGAATGCGGTCGATGTTGCCAATGGTAAAAAAATAAAATTCCGTTTTGGGAACATTCAATTATATTACGTTGGCTGCATTGAAAATTTGAATTTCCCGCACAAACTAAATTAATTTCCATCTTTTTTTTTTAATAATAATAAATAATATTAATTTCCACGTTTAAAATTCGCACCTTAATTTATCATACAACATTGGAACTACCTTCTTTATCTCTGGGAACTACTAGAATGTATGTCAGTTTGTGCGGGAAATTCAAAATTTCAGTGTAGTCAACGTAATATAATTGAATGTTCCCAATAGGAAATTTTATTTTTTTACCATTGGCAACATCGACCGCATTCCTTGAATATGGTCAATTGGTACACTAAGGCCCAGTTGTCAACTGGCAGTTGTATAACAGTTGGTAAAGAGCTGGTTAACTCTTGATATTAATTATGTAATTATTAAGCTAACTTTCAAGTTGTATAAACATTGATTAAAATTTAATTAAGTGATTGAAATACAATTAACAACAAAATTAATGAAATGTCAGTATGAATTACCCAAACCAACCCAAACTCAACAACCCAACCGACCCCGCCCCATTGAGCGACCATTTAATATTATACAATTGACAAATATGCTAAATAAGGATTTTTTTCCACCCGGTGTACTTTTAATAGCGGTACTCCCGGTGTACTTCTAGTCACTTTGTTTAATATAATAATTCCGTCCTAAGCGTAAAGGTCATATCTGCAATATTTTGTAGTAAAGGAGAGAAGGAAATTTTAAAAAAACAATAAAAAATGGCTTTTGTGCTTAACTACCAAATATTGCAGATATAACGTTTTGTCCTAGAACGATAGTTTTTGGTAGTTAAGAAAAAACGTTATTCTTTATTGTTTTTTAAAATTAAAATTTTCTTCTGTCCTTTACTTCAAAATATTGCAGACACGACCTTTAAGCCTGATTTATATATTGCCTTCCTCCCGTAAAATATTAACAATACGAAAACCATGGTGATAAGGTTATATTATAAACATCACCATGGTTTTTGTATTGTTAATCTTTTACGGAAGGAAGGAAGGCAATATATAAATCAGGCTTTACGCTTAGGACGGCAGAATAAACCGAGTACATGTGCAAGGATTTTGTAAGGATTTTAATTTTTGGCAAGTAAAATGTAAGGATTTTGACGCACAAGAGTAATCAAATTTCTAAATTTGGATTGGCAACACTGGTCTTCACCTTCTTTGTCTCTGACAGCAACCAGAAAATTGTTCTGTGATTTTTCTGTGATTGTTACAAACCAAATACGTGTTTTATTTGGAATTGATTTATTTACTTACAAAATTGACTTAAAATTATTTAACTTATGTTAAACTGTTGGAAGTCAGAGATATCTCTGTTTGAAGTACAAACATAACCTCAATAAATAAAGGGACGCATACAAAACGCCAGAAATCCAGTACCAGCCAAAGAAAGTATTATTATTTATAATTAGTAGTTTATTAATATTCTTAACACTTTATTTTCAGGATTATTACCTAACAATGAAGGATGTTATTGATGTAATGGAACTACAAAACACCAAACAGAGGAGGAATCCTCTTTTGGATTATAAAAAATTGGATTTTAATAAAGGATTCACACCAGCAAGGTTTATATTTGAGTGTGGAATAAAATTGCATGGACAACCTTTAACATTAGCTACAGCATCTATTTTGATGCACAGGTTTTTTAAGGAAGTTGATCCTTCACAGTATGATCCTTTTGTAAGTTAATTACATTTTGTGTGTACATCAGCAGATTAACCCTATAGCAAATTACGATGGTGCCTTGGGTTTGGCTGGGGCCCCTTAATCTATTACCCAATTTACTTTACACTGAACGGAATTTCATTTACAGTGGTGCTATACTATATGTAAGGGGCAATTCATAAAGTAACTCAAACATAATTAGGGAATTTTAGACCCCCCTTCCCTGATGTCACAGAAAAGCATTTCTATAGATCAAAATCATTACCACCTCTTCCCCTAAACGTTATGGATATATACCCTATATTCTTCCTGCATTTGGTTTTTAAGAGTGGGAAAATAATTTTTTAAAGTGGGAGACTCAGACTTTGCCTGAGAAGCGATCTTCGCAATTCAGTATTGGACTTTATCTAATCTATGGTGGACCCTTCACCAGCATTGGGTTATAGTCGAAGTTTGCTCTGAATTATTAAAAAGAATTACGCATTATTAAGTTAATTTACTTTTAAAAATGATACAGATACTTAAAATGTAACGTAATCACTTTTAACAGTAAATTATTAATTAAAGTTGGAAAATCATTATTTGTTTTGCATTTAACTAAAATTGTTTTCTTATAAAAAAAAAGTTTAAACATGAAAAATTCTCTTTAAAAACAAAAAAAAAAATTTCCTTGAAAACAAATTAAAATAAATAAAGCAATTCTCTTAAAACAAAACTAAAAATCAAACTTCTTAAAATAAATGTGAATAAATAAATTGATTAATTAATTAAAAAAAATTGTAAATTGTTATTTGAACACAAGCTTTGAATAATTTCAATTCAATTTTCTCTTGCAATGTGTAGCCTACACAGTGTAGGACATTATTATAACTTACAATTTTAAATAAAATAAAGTAATGAGGATGGCGCAGTGGGTTAAAGCTACTGAGCCGTAATCAATCTGCGCCACGGTACCGGGTTCGATTCCCGGTCACAGCCTTGGGTGTTGTGCTTGTTTTTCGAAGCATAAAAATATAAAATAATGAGCTGGCTAAATAGTCTAAAAGATTAAAAGTCAATAAACCTAAAAAAAAAAAAAAAGTAATTTATTAAAACACTCGAAATACGCACTAGCAAATGCAAAACAGAGTTCTCCTCTGTGGCAAAACATAACTGAATCGTCACCTGCTAGGCGACCCCTACGGCAATCCGCTTACAATGCATCTTGAGAGGGGCGATCGGGTTCACTCGGGTTTACTCGATTGTATATATTTCAAATAAAAATGGGGTATACTGTTGTTGTACCTAATATCTCAAAAAACGTCTGTATTTCAAAAAAAAGTTACATACAACTTTATAACAGTAAAATAACTTTTTATACACCTGAGCTGAGCAAACCATTTCACCAAACTAACTAAAACTATTAAGAAAAACTGATAAAGGATCTTTACGTAAATTATAACGGTGTGGGAAAAAGGTTGCCTCTCCCACACCGTTATAATTTCGGGACACGAGAGCTAACCTAGCTCCGAATCACTTGTGGCATCCAAGGGTATTAACTTTTAAACGCTTTAACTTTTTCTGTGGATGAAGTTTCCTTTTCCTTAACTTTTGTAATGGTCTTATTAAAACTTTTTCCAATTTAATGATTTAAATATAAGTTTCAGTAAGACCATGAATAAAATTGTAAATTTTAGATCTTTTCCCTATAACTAAAGCAAGATTTATAATCATTAAAGTACTCTGTGTGTATCTATATAATCTGGTAAGAATTAATCTTTACAAGAATTTGTAGGAGAAACACTTGTAAAAAATATTTAACTTTGGTTAGAACCCTCTCAATGCAGCTATGCACGGGATCGATGTCCGGTGTATCCAGAAGCCACCACTCGGCTGTTATCGTAACAAAAGTAACTTTTGATAATCACCTGCCAAACACGTGTGTTACAAACGAGTGTTTTCGAGAATAAAGCGGGAAAATGTTAAAAAATATCGGAAAAAAAACCTTGGCACGATTTGTTGTGTTGTTGGGTGTATTTCGATAGGAAATCCTGCGTTGGATTTTTATCGGTTTTCCAATAAACAGTGTTAATCCGAATAAAGAAATAAATTTTATACAGTCCCTTTAAATATAAATTGTATCTATTAGATACAATAAATACACATTTTAGTAATGATTAACGTAAAAAGTGTAAATATTTCAATTCAGTAAAAATCTTCAAACAAATAAGTCTAAATTTAAACAGCATTTAGCATTATTAAAAGCGTTGATTAAGAATTCTTTAAAGTCTCCATTTAACGGTAAAATACCATTATATTATGTATTATACAGGGTCCGGCAACAGAATAGAGTAATTGCATCAAAAATGAAAATCCCTAAAAACCTTTTTAATGTAATCTAGAGGTAAAAACACATTGCGAAAATATTTTTTTAAATTCCAAAAGTTCAACCCGGCCCCAAAATATCAAATTGAAAAAAAGGTACTTTTCAAACGTTCCCGAACTCCCGCCATATTGCATGACGTCATAAACCTTCACCAGTGTCAGAAATCAAGATGTCAACAAATAATAAACACCGATAAAGTTTATGTTTAACATGGAAAACGCGAAAACAAAAATTGGTTCTAAATATTGTTTTGTGCCTTGTTGTAAAAATACAACCTGGAAAACTCCTGGGAAAAGGTTTATCACCGTGCCAAAAGGAAAAATATGGATAAAGTGGATTAAAATAGCTCGGCGCGATATCAAAACATCGTCACCGCAGTCAACATTATATTGCTGCGAGGATCATTTTAATGTAAGTAAAATATAATGTCGTTTACTAGGTATGTGGTTGGAATAGGTATGTTAAATAATAGTAAACTCAAGAAAATACGGCTTAGCCGTAACGGCTCTCAGTGTAGGGTCATAAATTTTGCTTTTGATAATTGAAGGGACAACTTTCCCAGGAGTTTTTCAGGTTGTATTTGTACAACAAGGCACAAAACAATATTTACAACCAATTTTTTCGCGTTTTCCATGTTAAACCTTATCGGTGTTTATTATTTGTTGACATCTTGATTTCTGACACTGGTGTAAGTTTATGACGTCATGCAATATGGCGGGAGTTCGGAAACGTTTAAAAAGTACCTTTTTTCAATTTGATATTTTGGGGCCGGGTTGAACTTTTGGTATATAAAAAAATATTTTCGCAATGTGTTTTTACCTCTAGATTACATTAAAAAGGTTTTTAGGGATTTTCATTTTTGATGCAATTACTCTATTGAACGGTTTTAAAAATGCTGCTATGGAAGTACTATTGATTTGATATATGTCAAATAGTGACAGACTTGTACCTTATTGCCGAAAGTTTCGTGGCTGCTATGAAAATACTACATGTTGATTTGATATACAGTGCTTGCAAATCCAAGTCCGACCGGTTTGAGAAAGACGCGTGAAAATAACAAGGATAGAACGCCAAACAGAAGGCGTTTACAATACGCACGCCTGACGCTCTGGCCAATCAAACTCTGTTTGGCATTCTATCCTTATTCTTTTCACGCGGGTATTGAACAACCATCCTTCCCAACGTGGTCGGACTTGGATTTGCAAGCACTGTATGTCAAATAGTTAAGGATTTCTGCATTGTTGTTCATTGTCTCTAAAAATTGTGTGCAGAAATCGAGTCGATTGACTTTATCAATGGGATTTAGCCTCTGGACTGTCTGTATCTTGTACAGATGGAGTTTTAAATTCAGATGTAAAATTGTTTGCAAACTTTGGTCTGAAATGTGTAGAGCAATCGAGTGCCGAACTACAGAACATCGTGGACTGCGCTCAAACGCTTCTCTGACTCTTCCAATATTTTCTTGTGTACGAACTGTACGAGATCCACTGGCGAATTTTGATTTTACACTACTTTTTTCGTTAAAATCTCTTACCCATCTCAAAATGGCATTTCTTGATGGGACTTCCGAGCGCACTGGCAAATTATATTTACGACGAAAGCGTCTCTGCGTTTGTACGAAGGACTGGGTCAGGGTACACGAATTTACAGCAGATCCCTTGATTAATCGGCCAGTTTGCCATTGCACACGAAACCTTCGAAAATAAAGTATAAGTCTGTCACTATTTGACATATACCAAATCAATAGTATTTCCATAGCAGCCTTTTCAAAACCGTTCATTTCTGATGCCGGACCCTGTATATAATATTATGTTGCCATGAATTCGTAGTTATATTTTGTTGTTTAAAATGCAGTTGTCGGCGTTTTTAAGAGAACTCAAATATAAAAGTTGTTGATTTTAAGGTTATGTTTGTGCAAAAATTATTTTTTACTAATTTCTTAAAAATGTCCAAACTTAAATATAAATTATATAAGGTAAAGTTATCATTAGTTAATAGAGTAATTGCATCAAAAATAAAAATCCCTAAAAACCTTTTTAATGTAATCTAGAGGTAAAAACACATTGCGAAAATATTTTTTTAAATTCCAAAAATTTAACCCGGCCCCAAAATATCAAATTGAAAAAAAGGTACTTTTCAAACGTTCCCGAACTCCCGCCATATTGCATGATGTCATAAACCTTCACCAATGTCAGAAATCAAGATGTCAACAAATAATAGGTATACACCGATAAAGTTTATGTTTTACATGGAAAACGCGAAAACAAAAATTGGTTGTAAATATTGTTTTGTGCCTTGTTGTACAAATACAACCTGGAAAACTCCTGGGAATAGGTTTATCACGGTGCCAAAAGGGAAAATAAGGATAAAGTGGATTAAAATAGCTCGGCGCAATATCAAAACATCGTCACCGCAGTCAACATTATATTGCTGCGAGGATCATTTTAATGTAAGTAAAATATAATGTCGTTTACTAAGTATGTGGTTGGAATAGGTATGTTAAATAATAATAAACTCAAGAAAATACGGCTGAGTCGTAACGGCTCTTAGTGTAGGTTCATAAACTTTGCTTTTGATAATTGAAGGGACAACTTTCCCAGGAGTTTTCCAGGTTGTATTTGTAGAACGAGGCACAAAACAATATTTACAA